GCTTTTCAAATAATAGATACCATCCTTATACAAAATACAGATATTTGAAAATGTTTCAAATGTGAAAAAAAGTGGAATACCTCCAAAAAGTGCAATCAAGTCATCCTCGAGAGCAATAACTGAACACAGGAATTGCCAGATCTCATTTATCCTCTGAAGAACAGTTCTACTTCTCTCTGGAAGGCACGCAGTTCTGCAGAGTGGACAAGAAGACTCCTGAATATTTCATTAAAAGACAGAAACAATCATAATGGCTGTCACTACCTTTTCCCTGTCTCCTATTTCATTTCTGAAACAAGTGCTCCTAAAAAGTAACATGACAAACAATCTAGATTATGATGAAGGTCAAGCAGGTTGTTGGAAAAGCAGATTTAAAATATTCTGTATAATATAATAGACAGTATTATCTACACATAAAAAAATATTAAGGCATATTTAAGCAAATTTAGGATTTTAATATTTAAGCAAACTACTTCTCAATCTTCTGTTTCATTAACTACACCCACAGGGCCCTGCTGTTGCTTTTACCAGGACTTCACCTCCAACTTCCAATGTTAACACTTCTCTGTTCCCTTTCCAAATTCTCAGCTTCTCCTTAAAGACATTCAAACTTAAACACATGGACACAAAAGTTTTACATAGTATTGTATAATCAGTCTCATCAATTTTGTAGTGATATTCAAAATCACCCCTTCACATCTTGTAAATTGAAGGATAAATCATCTTAGCCATACTGTCTTAAAAAGCTTTTTTGACCAGGATTAGTAGGTAACTTTCAAAGTCAGTGTTTTCCAGGACATTACTTGTAATTACCCAGATTTGCCCAGCATTCGGGTTTATTCAGCTTTTCAAGTGATCTGACTCCCTTTTTAGGACTCAATAACTCTAACTCAATAACATTCTACTAATCCCTTGCAGCAGTCAATTGTCTTGTTTTGTTTTCCCCATAAGCAAGATTATATTTACTTCAATATCACTTATGAAAATAATCAAGAGGCAGTTGAAACCCTGTGAAAATTCACTGGAAGCTCTTGAGTTTGATATTTTGTTATTAATGACTCCTTTTTTCAACTACAACTTCTTCATAAAATTATTTTTCAGATGTGTTTTAGAAATATTGTGTATTGTTGGTCTCTGAAATCTTAATAGGAAGAATGTAACACTTTGCCCTATATCCTTCAAAATGGCTAACACCAGCTGCTTCAGAGAAAGTTTTAAGCAACCATAAAAATTAGTTATGCATCAACTTGTTTCCACTCCAGCACTTTCAGTGGCAAACTTATCCAAGTTCAAAGACATATAAACTTTAATAGCACTTCTGTTACCACAGCTATTCTTATTCTATATACACAAATAACCATTCTTTGATTTTTTAAATTATATTACCAGTCTTAGTCTCCATAACATTTTATGACAATTAATTCCAAATTATTTTTATCACTGTGTGAAAAACATAATTTTATCCATTTTGAATTTTCTACTCTTTAGTTTTACTGTAGCTCAGGTTCCAACTCTATATTACTTCCAGAAGGAGACAGATCCACAGCTGGTATCTCCCAAACATTTCTAAGATGTGGAATGCTACAAAATTAATTAATTTGGCTCTTCTGCAAGGTACTGATACCATAATTCTGCAATATTGGTCCCTCAACAATCCAGTGAGCACACTCTTAATCTATTTTCTCTTTTGCATATGCTCAGAATGTTTTTTTTATCTACCCGTGGTTAGCTAGTCACCTGTTAGACCTGTTTTTAACTCTTCTGATTATTTTTCTCCATATATTGCCTGCTGTTTTTTATGATAATTTTATTGGACTCCATAGGGCTTGTTTCTCTATTTTCTCAAGGCTTATTTGGCTCCAATGATCTTTTCATGCAGTCATTGTGAGTTCAGTGTAGCCTTTTTTCTTCATGATCTGTATACATCTACAAAGTAATAGCCATCAATCATGTGCCCCAGCTGTGTAGAAATTAATTATGCACATCTATTATAATATATGCATGTACTATGCCTGCACACAAAGGCATCCCCTGACGTAAAAAGAAAATGTTAACTGTTCTCACCAAAAGGTGGATTTTATCCCAAGTTTTTTCATTGGAATAAAACTAAAAATTATGCATAAATCTTCCAGAGAAGAAACTTAAACCACTAGAAATTACAGTGTGCTTTGTATCTATAAGTTACCGATATTAAAACTGTTACAATTAATTTAAGTAATGGACCATTACTTACCTCTAATATTTACAATTAGAAACGGTCAAATATTTCTGAGTTTATTTTATGTTATTGTGGTGTATCGACCCAGCCAGCAGCTAAGCCCCACACAGCTGATTGGTCATGGTCCCCCTCCTCCAGCAGGATGGGGTAAAGAAGAGGAAGAGAGAAAGCAAGAAAACTTGTAGGTCAAGATACAGAGAGTTTAAGAAGTGCAGGAAATAGAAAAAAAAAAAACAACAAAAAAACAAAAACAAACAAAACAAAACACCACCACAACAGTAACAAAGAAGGCAATAACTCTCCAGCTCCTACAAACAGACTGATGTTCAGCAAGTCTAGTTGTAATGGCTGCCTCTACCAAAAAAACCCTCCACTCAGTTTTTATTACTGAACATAACACTGTATGGCACTGAATGACTCTCTGGTGAATTTGGCTCAGCTGTCCAGGTCACACACACTCCCAGGTTCTTGCTCACCCTCAGCCTACTCACCACAGGGAGTGGGGGCAGAATAGAAACAAAGAGGAAGCTTTGACAGTGCAAGTACTACTCAGCAATAGCCAAAACACTGGTGTGTTATCAACATGGTTTTAGTCACAAATCCCAAACGCAGCACCATAAGGGCTGTCACGAGGAAAACTAACTCCATTACAGCAAGACTCAGTACAATAAGACACTATAAAACATAACTAGACATTATCAAAGTTCCAACTTCAGTGAGTTGCTGTCACATTTTGTTGAAGTTATGTGTCTTGCCTGGTTTTGACACTGGTCATCAGCCTAAATCATGTATTGGGTTTTTTTGCAACTTCATTTAAGAAGCAACATGAACACTGTTCCACTACACCTCCTGATCTGGGAGACAAGAGACAGCATTTTGGTTTCTACACAATCCTGACACCTCAAGGACTCAGCACCCATAAAGGACAGTCAGTACCTCTACTTGTGGTCAGATCCATGCTTTGTCAAAGCAGCTCTCTACTCCAAATAATTTTACAAATCAAATAGCAGCATCCTGTGATCTTCTCAATAACCCAGCTGTTTGCTCTAGGGGGCTTTGAAAATTAATTTGACTACTTTGACAACAGAAAGTTTTACTGCCTTTGAATCTGCTTTCAAAGACAAAATTATACAGGTCAAGCTATTGCCCATGGAGTATTCTGGTTAGCTTTGACAATGACAGATATCTTTCATGACCATTTCCCAGATCCCTTATGCCTACACTTCACAACTGTCCTTAATGATGAATGACAGTCATCTGCAATGAATGACAATTTTGCAGTACTCTCATCCCCAAAGAAATGGCACTATAATCATATTTTCTTGCTATAATTTATCAGACTGAAAAATACAGTCTCTGATTACTAGATTCTTTATTAATGTAATAACTTGAACAAATACCAAGTCATGTGTTTTGAAATGTGGATGGTAAAAGATACGAAGTTGTCAGGTACAGAACACTCTGTTTCCATTATTTTAGGAACCATAAATCTTACTCTTTAATGAAAATGCAATGTGGATAAGACAGACTGTTTTGATTTGAAATTGGTTTTGATATCCTAGCTGAGCCTTGAAGAAATACACAACTGATAGTTATAAAATAAAGAGGTATTCAAAGCTATATTCTGAATGGAATCTTGTTCTCACCACTCACAAGAGTGAATGTTTTCTTTTCTTAGTGAGGGTTTTTTGTTACATGGTTACATCTTCACAGATTGAACAGGGACTGAAACAGTCCATAAAAAAGACCATCTGCAAAAAGTCACCCAGTCAAATTTGCACTTTATGGGAAATATCTCGGGCCACAATGCTTGGCATTGATTATGCATTGATGGCAGATCCAATTAATTTAACCTAAGACGTAACACAAGCTTTCTTCAAAACTATTTTCATTACTGTAATAATTAAGGTCCTGAGTCACAGATCAGGACCTATCTGTTCCTGTGTTCTGTTGAATCAAAACAAAAACAGCTGCATATAAAACAAAATGTTTGACATCTAACCAGAGAAGATTACAATCTAGATATAAATCATAACATAGAAGAAACACGGTAAGTATAGAAGCTTGAGAATCCCAGGAATAATGAGAAAATACCGATGAGTCTGGTGGGCACTGTCATTAAAGAACTGAGTCTTGCATTTTGCAAGGTATCACATTAGTGACTTCTACGAAGAGTTTTTAAAGAGAACAAGCTTCCTATGGTTTCAGAAATGTTAACAAGGACCTCCCCCAAGGCTTGCAGGGCAGGAAAATAAAAAGCACTAAGGAACTTGTTTTAAAACAAACAAACATGTAACAGAAAATGAATTAACACACCAATTGAGTGGACAAACTTTCTTCTACTATGGGGGGCAACATGGACTTGGAGGAGATGAATACACCTTTCTAATAGCTTCCAGATTTTATATCTGTGGCATATTTCAGTAGTATTTATCCACTGTCAGTATGAGTGAAAGAGGGTAATTAGGTGCAGGGACTGGTCGGAAGCAGTATGTTAATGCTGATGCAATGAGAGAATGCTTGTGTGCATGTGTATGTATACACAGCAGAAGGGTGGGCAGACAACTGTGAAGTGAAACAAGGGTGAATCACAGTAGACATACAAAACCTACTACACAAGGCAGATTACATCACACGCATAAAAAATGACCAGATTGTAGAAGGCAGCATTCTCCATTTGCTTGTGCATTCCTCAACTTTGGGGACTTTGAGCGTGTTTATACTTGTTTTTATGATCTTTACAAATCTGACTGCTTCACATGCTCCCTACTTTTCTACTTACAGGATGATTCAGCACCACTTGTATGGTCCAGGCATTCTGCCTGTGGAACACAGGACATCTTCTCTGAGTCCTGCAGTAACTTCAAAAAGACCTTGCATGAAATAGGAAAAAAAATAAAATAAAATAAAATTAGAATCCATTAGGTAAAAAATACCATCCAGATTGTTAGGTATTTGTAGTGGTCTCTTTAGCCACCCTGCTGTAATACGATTATCGAATCAGTCAAGCTGTCCAGTGGAGGAATCCTGGGGATAAGGGGAAAGGAATAAATGCCAATAGATGTAAAAGCACTGATGCAAAGCATTGTTGGCCCATGGAGAGTACTGTCTGTAAAGAATTTTCAATAGACTAGCTGTTCTTGATTGATTTATTTTATGCTCCTAAACTGCGGCATATGTTGGAACTCAATTACTACCATTTTTACCAAAGGTATATTGTCAGCTTCTGGTCTCTTCTGAAACACTAGCTAGAATTCTGTGGGCACAACTGGAACTGTTACTGAAGATTTCTGATTGTGTACAACTAAATGTCATGTACAAAGTCCTACAGAACCAAGAGTCCACAGAGATCTGATAAGTGTCCATAATTTTGTGCAAGAGAGTGAGCAATAACACTATTGAAAGACATCTAAAGGACAATGCAATCGTCAGGCATGCTCAACATTAACAAAGTCCTGTCTAACTAATAATGTGGAGAGAACTGGGCAACAATGTATATTTTGTAGTAAAACCATCAGCATGCACAACCCACACTGGGAGAAGATAGGATGCTGTTACTTAAAGCCACTATGGGAAAAACTGAAATTATCTTTTTTTAAATGAAAATAACAATCTAAAAATCTGCACTAGATTAAAAATGTTATGGTTGAATCTTCCTAGCCAGGATGACACACATAAGAAGGGAGTTAAAGATAACATTAAAAATAATAATAATAAAAAAAAACCAAAACAACAAACCAGCAGAATTGACCAATTTTATAACTATAAGATCTAGTTAAATGATATATACACTTTGCAAAATAGATTTGTATTCAACCTACTACTTCATGCTTAATCCTGATTCATGGTTCTCTCCACATAAAGTCATTTGAATTCCCTAGAGATGTATTTCATTTATCAGTCCCTCAGCCTTGCAGAAGCTTGGAACAGCTTTCATAGTAAGTCAGTTATTAACACTAATACCATTTCTTGTAAACTCAAATGAAAAATAAACTTAACATTTCCTTATGTTAACCTGAACTGCAGTTTAAACAGCAGTTAATGTGGAAACTTCAGATTAAAAAAAATATAAATATATCTGATTGAATAGCAAAAGTACAACCAAGTTTTGCTTTCTCTTGATGAAATCTTGCTACCTTTCCTTTTCTGTTTGGGTTGAACTACAACACTTAGATCATCTTAGATCATAACCATATTGCAACTTTCAGAAATTACTAAGAAATCATTTATTTCTTCCCACAAAAGAACCTGATACCAGTTATGACAAAAAATTCCTTGTTTCCAAGGAGCTCATACAATAGACAATAAAAACTAGTCCATTTGAAGTATTTTATAATCGTGGAAAGACAATTCTTGACTTGCTCAGGTCTGATAGTTACATAAACCATATTTTGCTTAGTGAATATAATTGCCATTTAACAGTCATTATCAATTGCTTTTGTTACCTACCAGCTTTCAGGGAACATTTTTTGCAATTCACAACTGCAAGGCTAGAAAAAAATTAATACCTCTAGGTATTTCTATATTACACCCTGGAGAGAGATCCTGACTGTCCAAAGCCACCTTCTAATTTGTTGCTTTGGGCCTGCTTGCTGATGGCTCCTCTGCACACCAAATTCAGCCAAGCACTAGATCTGGAAAAGTAGGAGTTATACACCATGACAGAGAGACAATGTGTTCTTGCCATACTTGAAAGACTGGGTAAATTCAACAACAGAAGATGTCTTTTAGAACTCAGCAGAGCATCCCATTCCCTATGTGTCTTAGCAATTCCTGCTTAATTTCTGTTTTAGCTAGCAAGTCCATATCTGACCAAGGATTTGTCCAGACAGCTGTCTGAAGAAAGAGGAAATAGCTATTGCCTGCACCCTCCTAAGCTGCACTAGGTAGCTACTTCCTAATATCTTCATGATTTCTCCTTTGGGACAGTACCATACTAACAAGCCTAGTTCACTGATTCAGTGTCAAGGTTTCCTTGACACTTCATTGAAGATCATGGGGAACCTCTCACATCTTAGTTCTTGTTCCTAGAACATATCTTCACTTGAAATAAAAAAGTGCAGAAAACCAAAGTGGTTGAAAGAGAGACAGTGAAGAGAGGGGGGGGAAAAAAACCCAAACAAAACCCCAACTGACAACTGTACACAGTCCTTTATCATCTAGAACCACTGACTGATATTTTAGCAATGTTTTTGGGCCCTCTTATTCCACAAATCCCATGGGTATCACAAGTATTTTGCAGTGGGAATGTGTTAATTGCTTTAATTACTTTCTGTCAGTTAATTTGCAAAAAAGCACCTGCAGAAAGAGTAATCAAAACTGTGAGTGGTAATTATTACATAATTTAAAAGCCATATAAAAGTCCCTGAAAAGTAAGCAGCACATGGAATTAGGATCACATGGAAACCATATTTAACATTTTCCCAACTGTTTATGTAGACCTTTTCACTAGGACAGGCAGACTCCTCTGAACGTATCAGTGCTAAATACTAATTGTTCCATACTTACACCACTGGTAACACCCAAAAAAACATGGAAATCTGAAAATCTCTCTTTCGTGAAATACTATATATTCCACTTGGGAAATGTCTACATTCTGCATAATTAAGCATCACTGAATTTTCTTCAGTAACTGTGTAGTACCAAGGCAGGTATCCTTGAAAAGTATTAAGTTTTAAATCTACATATCCTGTGAGGTGTCCTTGCCCATGGCAAGGGGAGTTGGAACTAGATGGTCTTTAAGGTCCTTTCCAATCCAAACCATTCTATGATTCCATTATATGTAATCCATATTTTACCTTACATAAGTTCCTTACGTAGGAGCAAATTTTCCTGTTATTACATTTCCTATTCACTTTGTTTTTATTTTTACTTCCAGGCAGCCCATGCTCAGTATGGCCTTCTGTAGCTACAGGTGTGTTTCACTAAGCAGAACTATGCAGAAGCAGTCTTAGAGCCATTCACTGTGGACGACCAATGACTGAGGAACTTTTGCAAGCAAGTCAATGGTCGTCTGCTAAACGGGCACTTTCTTGCTCCACATCAGGCACTGAAGGCCCACAATGGCTTCTCTTGGGGATGGAGCAAGCAGGTAGTCCTGCTGGCTGTTGAGGACTACCCTACTTGCAAGCAACAGCTACTGCCCTGGCTACATCTTTCAAACCAGCAGATTGTCAGTAGGCATAGGAAGTCCTTTATTCTCAAGGAAAAAGGTCTGGCTAGATGACAATACTACAGTAAAACAGGTCAACTCCCAACTCTCAACAAAACCAAATCTTGTTAGAAGCTACATACTGTTTTAAGACTAAAATATCTCAAGGAGGTAGATGGCTTTCTCTTGAAAGTTTTGGGGCAAACTCTCTGGTCATTTCAAGGAAGAGAATTTAAAGTAGTACCCAATTAATGGGTATTTCAACACATCTTATTTTGCAAAGATGCTTCAGTGGTTTTGTTCTCTCCTCAGAGGAAGAAAGCAATAAGCTGTGAAATCTCCAGAGTTGCCAGAAAGTTAAACATCATCCTCCAGAGAGCTCTCAGTATGCACTTAATTTAATTAAACACCCTTCTATCCTCCTTTTGGTTCTGCTAACACACTTTGGATTACAACCATTATTAAGTACACAAATACAAATATTTGTAAAAGATATTTAAAGCCTAAAATTAAGTAAATATAATATTAGTGAGACTTGAAAATGTCAGGAACCGATGTTAAAATTTCAAGATTCCTTTGAAGGATGAATGGAAGCCTGGTTTCCCTTGAAAAGTAAGACTTTTAGACTGAAATAGAATAAATGGTGACTTTATGAGGGAACAGAAAGAAAGAACACAATAAAAATTATAACACGTTTCTTCCTTTAAAGTCAGTTTCAATTATTTGAATAGACTAAATAGCACTATTATGTACTATCCATTTAGTTGCCAATGCAAAGAGGTTTTTCATAAGAAAATTGAGAATTGAGGTTGTAACAATGATTAATTATGAGATAATAGAAATAACCCCAAATCAATGCATTAAGTCTTCAAGTTGAAGGATGCTATATGACTATCTAACACACCTTAAAAGTTTTTGTTGCTTTGGGTTTTTTTAAATCCCCTGCAGAAAAAAAACAAAAGCAAGCTCTCAACTGAGTATCAGATGCAGCACACTGAGGAAGCTTCCTTGTATTCCATGACAATTACACATTTACTTTACAGATGCCAGTTCTGGGAAGTGCTACGATATCTCACAAGGATGTAAAAAAAAAAAAAAACAAACAAAAAGTTCTCAATATATACATTACTTCAGAATGTGTAATACACATTACCTCATAACGGGGATTGGACTAGATGACCTTTAGAGGTCACTTCCAACCCAATACATTCTATGATTCTATTAAGTTGGGCAGCAAACAGTATTCTTTCTTATAGCACGTTAATCACCCTATGTAATGTAAAAGAAAATAACAATTTTTCAATATGCTTTTAACTTGCTTCATAAAATTATGTAACAGGAATGTAATTTACTTTCCAGCATTATGTAAAATGCTTATTAAACTTGTATGATTTCTTTATATCCCCATTCTCCCACCCACTGCATAGCAAATCCTTGTCACAACATCTTTATGTACTGTGGTCATTTATAGGAGAAACACTGAAGATAAGTGTTTTGTTTTGTTTTTCTTTATGAATAACTCAGTTGTATAGAGTTTAACTTCAAAACAAACCACATACTTGTTGATAGATCGTTCTTTGGGCTGCAGTTTGAAAAGAAATGTGCAAAACCAGGTCCTAAAAATCTATGTGGCGTATCAATAAAGTCCTAAAGATGTCTCCTGATGGGCCACTTCAGGATTCCTCAGCTCCACGTCGTTCTATATTGGTTCAATAAATTTAATGTAAAATTGTGATGTCAGGTTTACTTGCATTATTGGGATCCTATTTATACTTTTTCCACAGATTATATAAGATAAACAATTCTAAACTTTCAAAACAACCTAGAACTGCTAATGCATTTTCATGTATCTTACCCCATTAATTCCCATATGTATAGCTCATGCAACAAAAATGCAATGCATAAGTGATATCTGAGAGGTCTTAAAGTGTATCATCTTCATAAAACCAAGATGAGCATTTTCCCTGAGGGGTCTTGTGTTCCAGCTGACCACAATACGACATCATATTGTCTCCTATATTTCCAAGGAACAGAAGGAGAAGAGCTACATCCCTTTTCTATACTAAGTATTTATTGTTATATATTAAAAATATCACTGCAGTGTAATCTGCATTTCATTATTTCATGGGTTGTTTTTTTGTGGGTTGTTTTTTCCTAGCATATGTTACATTCTCTGTTAGAAAATAGTCCAACTTTGTAACTACAGGCAATCACTGGAGAAATCAGTTTCACAAAATGATATGTAATAAATTGTGTCATCAAATAAAAATAGATGTGTTTTGTGCAGTAAAAAAGTATTGACATTAGTGTCCTATCATCACTTGAAGAAGTTGAAAAAAATATTTTCAAAATATTTTCTGTAATACAGAATTTCAACACTGGTGGCTCTGGGAATCTTGATTATTAGAAGCTAGTCACAATAAAAACAGTCCAAGGAAAGAATTTCTCACTGATAGAGAAACATAGAACCATGGAATGGTTAAGGTTGGAAGGGACATTAAAGATTATCGGGTTCCAACCTCCCTCCTATGAGCAGGGACACCTCACACTAGACCAGGCTGCACAAGCCTCATCTAACCTGATCTTAAACACCTCCAGCGAGGGGGCTTCCAGAACCTCCCTGGGCAACCTATTCCAGCACCTTAGTACCCTCATGGTGAAGAATTCCTTCCTGATGTCTAACCTAAAATCTCCCCTCTTTCAGTTTAAAACAGTTACCCCTTGTCCTATCACTGCCTTCTCTAATGAACAGCCCCTCCCCAGCTTTCCTGTAGACCCCTTTCATGTACTGGAAGGCTGTTATAAGGTCTCCTTGGAGCCTTCTCTTCTCTAGGCTTAATCAACCCCAACTCTCTCAGCCAGTCTTCATAGCAGAGGTGCTCCAGGCCATTGATCATCTTGGTAGCCCTTTTCTGGACCCTCTCCAACACCTCCATGTCTTTCCTGTGCTGAGGGCACCAGAGCTGTACACAGGACTCCAGGTGGGGTCTCACCAGAGCAGAGGGGCAGAATCACCTCCCTGGCCCTGCTGGCCACACTTCTTTTGATGCAGCCCAGGATGCAGTTGTTCTCTGGGCTCCAGCACACACTAGTGGCTCATGTCAAGCTTCTCAACTACTACCACCCCCAGATTCTTTTTCTCAGAACTGCTCTCCAGCCATTCTCACCCCAACCTGCATTTTTGACTGCGGTTACGCCTACCAAGGAGCAAGACCTTACACTTGGCACTTGGCTCACCATTCCTGCCTGTCAAGGTCCCTCTGGATGGCATCCCTTCCCTCTAGGGTGTTAATTATTCCATACAGCTTTTTATTGTCAACAAACTTGCTGAGGATATGCTCAATCCCACCATCCATGTCTCTAACAAAGATGTGAAATAGCACTGGTCCCAGTACTGACCCCTGAGGAACACCACTCATCACTTGTCTCCACTTGGACACTGAACCACTGACCACAACTCCCTGGGTACAACCATTCAGCCAATTACTTATTCACTGAGTGGTCCACCTGTCAAATCCATGCCTTGTCAGTTTAGAGACCAGGATGTCATGTGGGACAGCGTCAAAGGCCTTGTGCAAATCTAGGCAGATGACATCATTTGCTCTGCCACCATCCACCATCTCTGTAGCCTTGTTGTAGAAGGCCACCAGATTACTCAGGCATCTCTATTTACACAGAGCTAAACCTCGAACTGATGAAGGAAAACAGTCTCTTTCTCCAGTCCATTTGGTGTATACACATGTCTGTGTGCATACATTACTATGTATATATGTTCATGAATACATATATGGAGGCACCTGTCTCTCTCGAGGTATACACATAAAATACTCTTTAGAGATTTCACCAGACAGTTTTTGCTAAGTCATAAGCTTTAGAAGTTTGTACATCAGAGTCTTCTGAGCATTTTTTTTTCCACCCACAGAGCTACCTGAACAGAACACCCAGCCTTATAATTTCAAAGTTCATTTTGATGCTAGAGATTCAGGACAGCAGCCTTTCTCGCTAAAGCAATCGCACATTAACTTTCCTTAATAAATGCAGAAAAAAACTATAAAGAGTTACACAGGTCCTCAGCCTTCACATTGGATTCTTGAAATAAACTGTAGTAGAGTGAGTGCTGAAATTAATAGTACAGCTATAAAGTATACATTTTGCCTGAGGTTGTGGTTTTTTTAGTTGTTTTTTTTTTGGTTGGCTTGTTTTTTTAAGAAACTATTTCTCTCAATAAACTGTTGTGCAATATAACGGATAACAATTGAGAACAGCTGGGAGCTAACATAGGATTCTCTAACCAAGAAAATGTCATTACACAGGAAAACAAAAAGTACCTCTTCCAAGGTGGTGTCAGAAATGCCGTAGCCAGTCACATGTAGATGATGAAGGCTTTGATCTAAAGCCTGAAAAAGACTTTTAAAAGAGGTCTTATCTGTGCTTTCTGGAATCACATAGGTCAGCTCAGTTCCACTGTTCTCTTTCAAGAATGCTTCTGGGATATGAGTCTGTACCAAAGATGTGACCTGAAGAGTATGCTTAGGATCCTGGATTTCAAACACAGAGGGCTATGAGAAAAGAAAGATAAACATGTACAACAAATTAAATGTTACCAGAAGTGTGGGACTTGATAGTAGAATTCATGCAGGAAAAGTGCCACTGATGAAACTGCATCAAAACTGGGATGCAGAGACTACTTTCCAGGAATAAAGAACAGTGAGAAAAAATCCCTTTTCAGATAAATGTAGAAATTCTTCTCTTGCAAAGATGTTATTGTGGTCTTCTAAATAATAACAGTAATAGTAGTAATAATAATAATAACACCCACATAAAACAACCAAGAAAGCTGATAAAAACATTTTGCTGGCTCTCTGATAAACTATATAACTATTGCTTCCTGGCAGGGACATGTCGCTCCCTTAGAATATATACAGCCATTCCTTGGCAGGCACTGTTGTGTACAGACTATTTTATTATACCTTTTTTATGAGCGTTAGACGGTGTCCCTGTCCATATGTTTCCCTCAGATAAGAGGGAGAACCACAGCACCTCAGCTGGCCACGCTGCAGGATGGCAATGCGATCGCTGAGCACTTCTGCCTCATCAAGATGGTGAGTGGTAAAGATCAGTGTGCAACCTGCATCAGAAAGATTGGATCATGTCTACAAAAACTGGATTCTAGAGAAACACCCCATGCTTTCACAAGGGTCCTTTAACCTTAAGGGAACATGTTTTGGGTCTCTTCAAAACCCACATTCAGATTTGCAATTTGAGTTAGATTCAGGTCTAAACTTGCTTTGCATTGTATTACACATAGGAAGAAGCATTAAGCCATTACACCTTCAAGCTGTTTTAAGATTCCTTAAAAAAACATAACAGCAGCATCTGTTCAAATGGATCATTCACTGTGAGTTATTACAGTTAACTGAATGCTCACTAGCTGAAGAGTTTGCTCCCCACAATCAATTTTTAACCTTATGGCATTTAAAAAATTAATGTAGCAGACAGATGAGTCTATTTTCATTAGAAGTATATATGCATCTATACACAGATATATGCAAAACAGGAAATGAAAACCAAAACATAACTCTGAAAGGCTAACATAAATGAAGAGAACCTTCACTACAGGACTCAGAACTAGAGCTCAAACCTCTGTTGGACTTGGCATCTTTCGGTAAGATAGAAGTTATTCTTGTAATTTCACTTGACTGTTTTAAAGTTTACCAAATTCAATTAAATGTTACCACCAACATTTATGTATTTACTTACTGAATAGCAATATTAATTTTCTGACTATCCTGTTTAAATTTATTGAAACAAAATTCCAGAAAGGCACATATATGCAGCAAATCATGTGTATAAACTTTGTACCAGCTTTGTACTTCAGGAGAACATCCCAGATGCTGTGGCGAGAACACGGATCTACCCCACTGGTGGGCTCATCTAGAACAATTGTCTTGGAGTTTCCAATAAAGGAGATGGCAATTGAAAGCCTCCTTTTCATTCCCCCAGAAAGGGCTCCAACAGGTTTGTACTGATGTTGGGATAAATCCACATCTTCCAGAGCTCTGAAATAGGAGTGCAGAAATGAGAGCAGTTTTGAAAAAGTTATTTCAGTCACATCATGTTCACTCAGAGTAGAATTACTGGAAAGACACTGTCAATGGAAAGCGAAAAAAACACTAGCTATGATTGATTATACAATTAAGTGACAAAACTTAACAGAAAAAAAAATATCTCTTTACCGACAAACTATAAATACTCATCACCACTTGAAATACAAATTCTGCTTAAGTATTGCAGTGGTTAGAACAGGAAATTTTGAAATTAAGTCCAACAGAATAAACAGTTTGTCCAATTATTTCCCCAAACTATAGATTATAGCTTTGCAGAAGATGGTAAAGATGGTTAGTTTCATAACTCAATGTTTCAGTTTTTGCAGTTACCTAAAGGACCTTAAAAATGCCTGAGATTTTAAAAATGTGTGGACATTTGAAGTATATGGAACACTGGGGTTTTTTTAAATATATTTCTGTGAAGTAAACGGATTAGTCATCCCTAGGCAGGATACTACTGCCTAATCCAACCTAATTTAATTTATGTATTAAGGACTGGGAAACACCTTACAGACATTTCATATTCAGTCCTTGCATTCTTACAATCTTTCACCTAAGCAATATGTGGAAACCAGAGATTTGTTTTTCAACACACTGGACATCCAGTCATTGACCTAAAAGCTTTCACTTTCTATAGGACTGGCAATCAAGACTTAAAGACTCAACAGTCCTATAATAATTCCCAGAAACATCTGAGTGAATATGCAGTCTGTAAGCCATACCATTTACCCAGAGAATTTTTCATTTTAAGAAAACAGGTTTCTGTAATTGTTGTATAGATATATATCCAGGAAAATCATTATTAATATATCTAGAAGCCATCCTTTTTTTTTTTTTTTTTTGTGCTTAATAAAAAGCAAATTTTGTTTCATTGTTTCTTTGCTTTTCTAATTTCTCTGTATTATTATAAAGTTTTCATTGCCTTTAGAAAAATTATCTCTTTCTTAATACCAAGGCCTGCAGAGTCCTGAGTATTCTTCTGCACCATTAGTATGATAGAGTGTTGCTGGAATTACAATTCAGCAGCCCAAGTGCAATAAAATACAGGATATTATTTTGCATAAATTTTAACAAAACACCAGGTCTGGTTTGCTCGTATTTTTCTAGAGAGTTTTTTTCTGTTGTTTCTAGAGATAACGCAGTGTCCCACACCAGACGTTTTCAGATAAAAAATTTAAAGTAACAAGCTTTTACGATAGTGACTAAAAAGCCAAGCCACTATGCCACAGTGTGTCCGCATATCACAGAATCCCAGAATACTCATGGTTAGAAAGGACCTCAGAGATCACTAGGTCCAACCATAAAACAAAAAAAACCCAAACAACCACAACAACAAAACCCCAAATACAACAACCTTGGCCACTAGAGCATGCCCTGAAGTTCTTCATCTACATGTTTCTTGAATACCTCCAGGGATGGTGGCTCCCCCACCTCCCTGGGCAGCCTGTTCCAGTGCCCGACCACTCTTTCAATAAAGAAATTCTTCCCAAATATGCAACCTAAACCTTCCCTGCTGCAACTTCAGGCCATTTCCTCTGGTCCTGTAATTACTCACTTGGGAGAAGAGGCCAACACCCAAACTCCCTACAACCTTCCTTCAGGTAGTTGTAGAGGGCAATGAGGCCTCCCCTCAATCTCCTCCAAACTAAACATCCCTAGGTTCCCTCAGCCACTCCTCCTATGACTTGTTCCCTAACTGTTCATTTAAGGAAAACTCCCTAGCATTTATTTCCACTGAAGCATGGAAGTGCCCGGCCCTCCACACAGTCTACCATGAATCAGAAATAAATAGAAACTACACTGCCACACAACTAGAAGAGCATACATTTTACTCCTGAAGTTCAGAACATGCAGTTTGCTGTTAGTGAACAAGATCTCACCTTGTACAGATTAGTAGTAATTTAACGTACATGATGCAAAAATGAAGATCTAGTCCTATATCAAAATGGAAATCCTCTGTGGTCATGCCAGAGCTCTGGCTTCTTTTTTCCTATTGGATTGATTGTGTTTAAACACCTTCACTTACTAAACACATTTAAAGTCTGAATTTGACAAAGGGAGATGATGGTCAGTTAAAAAAGACTATAACAACCACTGCCTTTGCCTGCCTCTTCTGGTTTTCCAAGCTCACCTCTGCTGCAGGTGAGGGAATGCAGGATAACAAATACATGTGTCCACTTATCTGACAATTCTGGGCAAACTCACAGCAGTTTACTTTCTGTATGCCTCTCCAGCAAGGAGAGAGGTAAATCAGACACCATGCAGCAGGAAACTACCAGGCTAACCACCTCCACTCCAGTCAAAACTGTATCTACACTAAACTAGGTTTTTAAACCTTGACAGTTTCACTACAATTACATTCCATTAGAGGTTAGAAACTAGACAGTCTATTTCCAAGACACAGTTTCAGAACATGAAGTATGGTAAAAACTAATGGAAAACCTGTGGTTTCCATTCACTTCTACTTGCAATTTTGCTGTAGCACTTCTTTGTTTGAGTGGCTTGCAATAGATGCTCCTGATGTACTCGACAGGTTTCAACAAATAAAAGGAAAACTTACCCATTGACTTGCTGATTCAACTGCTCCCTTGTCCAGCCAGGTGCCTTTACTGACCCATAAAGCAGTAGATGTTCTCGCACCGTTAGTACATTGAACAGGACATCATATTGTGGGCAAACACCAAGCTCTGATCTGATGGCAGCCAGATCAGTACGTATGTCCTTTCCGTTAATAATTATCGTACCAGAGCTCGGTGGATACAGACCAGTTAACAGTGATCTGATACAAGAGAAAAAAAAATTCAGCAAGAGTAGTTCCTCACTGGGTTCCATCCTGTATCATTGGTTTTATTAAAAGTAATCAGCGTTAACATAAAGACAGAAATACATAGGCTTCTTAATTGAGACATTTTTAAATGTCATTTTCATTTTCTTTTCATTTCTAGTCAACTGCCAAGAAATCCCCTGAAACCTCCAGGAACAAAGCACAAAACTTCATAAAACTCCACACTCTCCATGTGATAGGAGTACACATGGGATATCAGAAAAGAACACTATCCTGAGATTTGTTCAGTTCTACAACTAGACATGCCCAGCTCCTACTTAAGCTGCTCCTGAACTACTATGTCTTGGTTTCAGTGGCACAGAGGACCCAATTCTCTATTCAAAGGACTGCTTTTATCATGGATACATAGCCTTCATTTTCCAAGTGCTTTAGGAAGTTTATTAAATATTTATTTGGAAAAAGGCAGACATAAGAAAGAGCTCACAAACTTCTGGAAATGAGAAAGAATAGCAGAGTTTTAGGCCAGTGTAATAGCACTAAATGACAGACTTACATAACTGTCGTCTTGCCAGCTCCATTAGGTCCCAAGAGTGCTGTTATCTGACCTCTATGGAAAGTGAGACTGAGATCTTTAACAGCAGCCTTCTGCCCATCCACGTGCTCTTTGGTGAGAGATAGCAGCGTGACACCCACTGTTGCCCCTTCAACACACGGAACTTTCCAGCTTGGAGGTGCTGGCTCTGTAAGGGGAAAGGCAGCAGATCAAGAGGGCTGCTGAATCCAAACATACATGTGTGTGTATATAGGGAAAAACAAATTAACTTAATCTCTCTTGCCATTTAACAAAGCCTAGAACAGATGTTCAAATGCTCCAACCTGGCTTTAGGTGCACTGAAATCAAAGATAATATGCCAGTTAGCATTTCCTAAGAATTTGACCTATTTGCAGTTATAAAAAGCAACACAAAATAATCATGCCAATTTGTGTGCACAGCAACATGTGTATCCATAGTTGTTATATTTTACTTCTACTAGAAAAAAACCCACTAAAATTAATGTAGCTTGAATGATTGTTGTATGCCCATGGGTAGGAGAGAATTCTATTTGTGTCAACTGTTCCACATATTCCATCTAGTTTTAGGCACATAACTTTCACAAGCAGAGTCAGTTAATCCTCTTAATTCCCTCAGTCAATAAAGTAAAGCAGATCTCTGAAAAATAACTCAGAGCAGCTGTCTAGTCTTAACAAAACTCTGAGTCCCCAATGCAAGTAGATACCCAGTGTTTTTCTAACTCTGCAAACTGAGATGACCAACCAGATATAGTTGACTTGCTTTCTATGTCAGGAAAAATGCACTACTTTCCAAAACATGAGCACAGTCAATAACAAGCTTCATACTATTAACATGTAGTTATTTATTGACTCATTACAACTGAGGTATCTGGCAAATTGGAATGTTATTCCAAAGAAACAGAAATTGTTATGGATGAGAATGATGAGAAAAGAGAATTATCCTTTTAAATATATAATGTATCTATCAAAAATACAGAAATAAATAAATAATTTTTAAAAAATGTTTATACTTTAGATTTTATGTAATAATTTTATATCTCATTAAATAATAAACATTACAAGAAAATAGAATTATGCTTTATATAAAAATATGTAAGACTATATAGACAGAAAATAATATAAGGATTTCAAGGATTGCCTTATTCAGGCTATGAATGAAAACGTTTTTCACTACCTTCACAATCAATTTGATGTTTAGAAAGAACTTTTGCCAGAAGCTTCAGTTTGCCTTCCAGCTAGGCACTACCAGCAGCTGTGACATTTCAGAGCTCATCCTACCCATGAAACTCTCTTCCAGTTAGCTCCTTTTCTTTTGATCTGGAGACTAAAACCACCATCAAACCTTATTTGTGCTTTTTCCACCGCTTCCTAAACTTGCAAGTACATTCTGGAACTTAAAAAAACTTGAAGTACACAGTGAGCCTAAGATAATGTATCTCAAGTAAGACTGAGATGAAAACTCCAAATTAATTGCAAGCAGGAAATTGATCACCCTTGGACTTCTCCTAAGAGGAGATCCAGTGCCCAGGTGTCTGTCAGCCTTACTCTAGTTGTAGTTCCAGCTTGTAGGACCTACACTCAAGCCCTTCCCTGGCACACCTCTCATTTCCAAAGTGCTTTCCACCCCCACTGGACCAGTCCTTACCTGGACTATATGGAACAAAGGCAGAAATCACCCAGGAGCAAGTCATTTTGCTGTTACAAATACAGAGGAGTTTTTTTCTTTTGTGTTTCAAAGAGGATATGGTGAACCCAAGGGGAAACACTGAAAATCTTCACTTTCAGTAAGGACTAATGACAATTATCTCAACAAAATGATACTGTTCCAAATTTCAGAAATCCAGACAAAATTAATACTTCTTTTTTCCCACAAATGTTTAAATTAACTTCAAAACATTTTGAAGTTTGCCCTACTCGAGGATATACCAATACCAATACAACTGCTGAGTTGTTCAGCTTCTTTGCCTATGCTACAGACAACTGGATCATTTCCAAGCCACTGTAACTTCCAAAAACCCCATAACAACTCATCATGTTGTTCTAAGGCCCAAGAGGGAACAGAAGTGAGGGTGACTTACTCCTGCATTCACAAAATATGAATGAAATGTGAGAAAATCCTTAAAGAGACCTGAGAGGGAAAAAAAGCCTAAAAAACTAAATTAATTTTGAGCTAGTGAAAAAAGAAATAGAAGAGCAGTGAAAGCGTCTGGAGGTAGATAAAAATCACTTATAGGAACAGTAGCTTTTTAAACAAAAGGCTAAGAAGCAGAGACAGAAAGAACAATGATTACAAAACAGGGAAATGAGAAAGAGAAGGTAAAGACATTAACAGTTAATTTTTCCAGTGAAACAAGAAGAAAATTAAAACAGCAGAGGAGGAATAAGAAAATTAGACTGTGGGGGGAAAAAGTTAATAAAGCACAATACTTTTCAGATTCAGTAAGAGTATGAAGTGTTCAAGGAGCTTTCGAAGATCATAACAAAGTAAAGAGACAATACGCAAGGAAAGGATGAACCCAAGAGGTGCTTATTTTACATTTGTAATATCATTTTCTTAAATATTTGTGTACAATAGTTTTAAATTGAATAATATGAGTATTACAGGCAATAGCACAATTAACAGTACATAACGTTCATAGTATAGACTATATAAAGGAGGAAAGCAAGAACAAAACACATAATATAGGATGAAGCAATGATAAAAGCAGATTAGTCAAAATCAGCACAACTTTCAGAGAAGAGACATTACTAAAATTCTACAAACCTTTTTCCTGGAAGTTTTCATTGAAGAAAAACATATTAGATTTCAGATAATGTCTGTTCCTTCTCTCTGCACCACACAGGTTCTTCCAGTAGGAAAGAGTAAAGGGAAAGTACCATCGGTTCTTTAATCCGAATTTTCCTAGATGATAATTGTGATAGAAACTGTTGCAAAATCTATAGTATTTTTGTATTTGTCTGTAAACTCCTAACATCCTATCATTATTCACAAAGAGCTAGTTAATCCATTTAATTAACTTAAACTCTTATCAGCACTTAAAAAACCTTACTAAAGCAGGAGGTGTGTTACTAGTGGAGTCCCACAAGGGTCGGTGCTGGGACCGGTGTTGTTCAACATCTTCATCAACGACCTGGATGAGGGTATAGAATGTACCCTCAGCAAGTTTGCTGATGACACTAAGCTGGGAGGAGTGGCTGACACACCAGAAGGCTGTGCTGCCATTCAGAGAGACTTAGATAGGTTGGAGAGTTGGGCGGGGAGAAACATGATGAAATTCAACAAGGGGAAGTGCAGAGTTTTACATTTGGGGAAGAACAACACCATGTCCCAGTACAGGTTGGGGGCTGAACTGCTGGAGAGTAGTGTAGGTGAAAGAGACCTGGGGGTCCTGGTAGACAGGAGGATGACCATGAGCCAGCAATGTGCCCTTGTGGCCAAGAAGGCCAATGGCATCCTGGGGTGTATTAGAAAGGGTGTGGTTAGTAGGTCAAGAGAGGTTCTCCTCCCCCTCTATTCTGCATTGGTGAGGCCACATCTGGAGTATTGTGTCCAGTTCTGGGCCCCTCAGTTCAAAAAGGACAGGGAACTGCTCGAAAGAGTCCAGCGCAGAGCTACGAAGATGATTAGGGGAGTGGAACATCTCCCTTATGAGGAAAGGCTGAGGGAGCTGGGTCTCTTTAGCTTGGAGAAAAGGAGACTGAGGGGTGACCTCATCAATGTTTACAAATATGTAAGGGGTGAGTGTCAGGGGGACGGAGTTAGGCTTTTCTCGGTGATGACCAGTGATAGGACAAGGGGTAATGGGTGTAAATTGGAGCATAGGAGGTTCAAGGTGAATATCCGAAAAAATTTTTTTACTGTGAGAGTGACAGAGCACTGGAACAGACTGCCCAGGGAGGTTGTGGAGTCTCCCTCACTGGAGACATTCAAAACCCACCTGGATGAGTTCCTGTGTGATGTACTCTAGGTGACCCTGCTCTGGCAGGGGGGTTGGACTAGATGATCTCTCGAGGTCCCTTCCAGCCCCTAAGATTCTATGATTCTATGATTCTATGATTCTATGAAAGCGAAAGTCATTTGGCAACAACACCAGGTCCTGCCATAAAATAGCTGGTCTTTACAGATACTGTGCTTTACCCTAACTCCACATCAGCTTTGAAGTATAACAGAATCATAGACTTAACAATATGTAGGCACAGCCTAGCACAATCTTGTAACCTCAAGGACAGAAATGCACAAAATGCCCTGCCCAGGTAAACAGCCTTACTTTTTATTAAAACGATAATCCGTTGTTCTTCCATAACAATATGTATAATTTTAATAAATCAGCCAGCATAAGAAATATTTATTGTAGTACACAATCAGAAAGGGAAAAAATATGCTCCTACACACAACCTGAACTTTGGCATTGTCCAATCTTTCCAGGCTTTATTTACCAATCACACTATACACTCTCTATGATGTTTGGAGTTACAGTACATTGACACAGAAGGCCACACATCAATTTAAGTTAAAGTTTGTCATATTCAGTTGTACATTCTACAAGCCCCTATCTTTCAAGGCAAAACTGTTGTGTTTTTTTTTAAACCAAACACAGAGTAGCTGGAAGAAATAGTGACATATGCAAGTCAGAGGACAGGTACATTTCAAACACCTATTGAGACATTATGCTAGAATTAAAAACATGCATCAGCCTACTCAATAATAATTGTAAAACTTGGTTAAAGAAAAAGAATCCTATTATTTTCTGAAAATGTACTTGAAAATTAATTCATTTTCTTAATACATTGGACTGACTGGGAGCAAGATACAGTTACCGGATAGTTCAACATCTCTGCGAGCTGAAAACCTATTGTTCATGGGTTTCAGCCCAAGTACTGACTCTAAAGTTTCACCATTTTTTCACAGGAAGTTATTTTAAAAGACTGACTTCTGTTCTGGTGAAGTATCAACAAATTCTATAATATACATTAAATTCTGAGTTATGTTATGTGGTGTTATATTATATCCTTCAAATATTAGTCATCTTCATAAGCAAACAAAAGATATTTCATGCCTGGCTACAAGTTCTACTCCATGTGTTAGCACTACTCACTATTTCTGTATGTAAGAAGCCTTTCTTATCCAGTCCCTAAAGGCAATCAGGCAGTTTTGCACATTAAAACCTCAACTCAGAAAAAGTTATTGGTTTGTGTTGCATACAGTGAGGAGAGCCAATTCTATCCATTCCATTCAATAACTTACTTGAAATAAGAACTCCATGGTCTCACCTGGAATAATATTGCTGAAATACCAGCCACCTATAGAATATAAAATGGAGTCAAAGAACATCATCCAGCACATCCATGCAAAGGTCATATATCCTTCATGTGTCATTGGCTGGTGCACATTATTCCACTGAATTCCTGGTAATAATAATAATAATAATAATAATAATAATGGTTTTTTAAAAGGTCAAAGCTAAATCAGTACAGGATTAAAGATCACAAACACATCAACACCACACAGTCCTGGGTATTTAAGCACTGACACAAAAAAGACTGTAATTAATCTGGAACAGACTGCCCAGGGAGGTTGTGGAGTCTCCCTCACTGGAGACATTCAAAACCCACCTGGATGAGTTCCTGTGTGATGTACTCTAGGTGACCCTGCTCTGGCAGGGGGGTTGGACTAGATGATCTCTCGAGGTCCCTTCCAGCCCCTAAGATTCTATGATTCTATGATTCTATGATTCTATGAAAGCGAAAGTCATTTGGCAACAACACCAGGTCCTGCCATAAAATAGCTGGTCTTTACAGATACTGTGCTTTACCCTAACTCCACATCAGCTTTGAAGTATAACAGAATCATAGACTTAACAATATGTAGGCACAGCCTAGCACAATCTTGTAACCTCAAGGACAGAAATGCACAAAATGCCCTGCCCAGGTAAACAGCCTTACTTTTTATTAAAACGATAATCCGTTGTTCTTCCATAACAATATGTATAATTTTAATAAATCAGCCAGCATAAGAAATATTTATTGTAGTACACAATCAGAAAGGGAAAAAATATGCTCCTACACACAACCTGAACTTTGGCATTGTCCAATCTTTCCAGGCTTTATTTACCAATCACACTATACACTCTCTATGATGTTTGGAGTTACAGTACATTGACACAGAAGGCCACACATCAATTTAAGTTAAAGTTTGTCATATTCAGTTGTACATTCTACAAGCCCCTATCTTTCAAGGCAAAACTGTTGTGTTTTTTTTTAAACCAAACACAGAGTAGCTGGAAGAAATAGTGACATATGCAAGTCAGAGGACAGGTACATTTCAAACACCTATTGAGACATTATGCTAGAATTAAAAACATGCATCAGTCTACTCAATAATAATTGTAAAACTTGGTTAAAGAAAAAGAATCCTATTATTTTCTGAAAATGTACTTGAAAATTAATTCATTTTCTTAATACATTGGACTGACTGGGAGCAAGATACAGTTACCGGATAGTTCAACATCTCTGCGAGCTGAAAACCTATTGTTCATGGGTTTCAGCCCAAGTACTGACTCTAAAGTTTCACCATTTTTTCACAGGAAGTTATTTTAAAAGACTGACTTCTGTTCTGGTGAAGTATCAACAAATTCTATAATATACATTAAATTCTGAGTTATGTTATGTGGTGTTATATTATATCCTTCAAATATTAGTCATCTTCATAAGCAAACAAAAGATATTTCATGCCTGGCTACAAGTTCTACTCCATGTGTTAGCACTACTCACTATTTCTGTATGTAAGAAGCCTTTCTTATCCAGTCCCTAAAGGCAATCAGGCAGTTTTGCACATTAAAACCTCAACTCAGAAAAAGTTATTGGTTTGTGTTGCATACAGTGAGGAGAGCCAATTCTATCCATTCCATTCAATAACTTACTTGAAATAAGAACTCCATGGTCTCACCTGGAATAATATTGCTGAAATACCAGCCACCTATAGAATATAAAATGGAGTCAAAGAACATCATCCAGCACATCCATGCAAAGGTCATATATCCTTCATGTGTCATTGGCTGGTGCACATTATTCCACTGAATTCCTGGTAATAATAATAATAATAATAATAATAATAATGGTTTTTTAAAAGGTCAAAGCTAAATCAGTACAGGATTAAAGATCACAAACACATCAACACCACACAGTCCTGGGTATTTAAGCACTGACACAAAAAAGACTGTAATTAATAACAACAATCCTAATGAATGAAAATTAATTGCTGTCTCCACAAGCCTCTGCTTGGAACAGCAGGTAACACTGCTGCTAGGAAAGTGCAGAGAAGCTGTTGTAGAAAGGGCTGTTTATGAAGTTTTAGTTGGCCCTTAATTTGGACAAAAAAAACCCAAACCAAACAAAAAACCAATTGCCTGACAAAATGGGGCACCAACCTCTTCAATGAATCAGGCCTTATGACATTCTGCTGTTATTATAAATAAACGGTTTGTACAAAGTTTAAAGTAATTTCTATAATGCTAAATATAAAAACTTAAATCCATGAAGTCTAACTAAGAAGCAAATATTTGTGCATAACAACTGTATTCAGAGGTAAACTGGAACAACAAAATCACTGAATAATTGCTGCATAAAATTATTACATTGCAGAAGACATGAAAGGAAGAAAGAAGGCTCAAAACACTAGTGCTACAGAAAGCTACCTTATTGCTCCTCCACCTCTATTCTGCCTTGGTGAGGCCACATCTGGAGTATTGTGTCCAGTTCTAGGCTCCTCAGTTCCAGAAGGACAGGGAACTGCTTGAAAGAGTCCAGGGCAGAGCCACAAAGATGATGAAGGGAGTGGAACATCTCCCTTATGAGGAAAGGCTGAGGGAGCTGGGTCTCTCTAGCTTGGAGAAAAGGAGACTGAGGGGTGACCTCATCAGTGTTTACAAATATGTAAAGGGTGAGAGTCAGGAGGACAGAGCTAGGCTTTTTTCAGTGACGTCCAGTGACAGGACAAGGGGCAAAGGGTGCAAACTGGGACATAGGAGGTTCCATGTGAATATCAGGAAGAACTTCTTTCCTGTGAGAGTGACAGAGCACTGGAACAGGCTGCCCAGAGAGGATGTGGAGTCTCCTTCACTGGAGACATTCAAAACCTGCCTGGACACGTTCCTGTGTGATGTACTCTGGGTGATCCTGCTCTGGCAGGGGGGTTGGACTGGATGAACAACAATCCTAATGAATGAAAATTAATTGCTGTCTCCACAAGCCTCTGCTTGGAACAGCAGGTAACACTGCTGCTAGGAAAGTGCAGAGAAGCTGTTGTAGAAAGGGCTGTTTATGAAGTTTTAGTTGGCCCTTAATTTGGACAAAAAAAACCCAAACCAAACAAAAAACCAATTGCCTGACAAAATGGGGCACCAACCTCTTCAATGAATCAGGCCTTATGACATTCTGCTGTTATTATAAATAAACGGTTTGTACAAAGTTTAAAGTAATTTCTATAATGCTAAATATAAAAACTTAAATCCATGAAGTCTAACTAAGAAGCAAATATTTGTGCATAACAACTGTATTCAGAGGTAAACTGGAACAACAAAATCACTGAATAATTGCTGCATAAAATTATTACATTGCAGAAGACATGAAAGGAAGAAAGAAGGCTCAAAACACTAGTGCTACAGAAAGCTACCTTATTGCTCCTCCACCTCTATTCTGCCTTGGTGAGGCCACATCTGGAGTATTGTGTCCAGTTCTAGGCTCCTCAGTTCCAGAAGGACAGGGAACTGCTTGAAAGAGTCCAGGGCAGAGCCACAAAGATGATGAAGGGAGTGGAACATCTCCCTTATGAGGAAAGGCTGAGGGAGCTGGGTCTCTCTAGCTTGGAGAAAAGGAGACTGAGGGGTGACCTCATCAATGTTTACAAATATGTAAAGGGTGAGAGTCAGGAGGACAGAGCCAGGCTTTTTTCAGTGACGTCCAGTGACAGGACAAGGGGCAAAGGGTGCAAACTGGGACATAGGAGGTTCCATGTGAATATCAGGAAGAACTTCTTTCCTGTGAGAGTGACAGAGCACTGGAACAGGCTGCCCAGAGAGGATGTGGAGTCTCCTTCACTGGAGACATTCAAAACCTGCCTGGACACATTCCTGTGTGATGTACTCTGGGTGATCCTGCTCTGGCAGGGGGGTTGGACTGGATGATCTTTCGAGGTCCCTTCCAACCCCTAAATTCTGTGATTGCTAAATGGAAAACAAAAGTAATTGAATTGTAGATTTACAAAAAGCACTGTTTATTTTTTCTCTGCAAATACTGCTTTTGTTTCAGTGCAGCAAGTCATGATACTGTTCCTACAATACTTTTTCTGTGACTGTCAAGAAAAGCAGGTTTTCTGCAAAGCATTCTCTGCCTTTTCTTCAGTAAAGATGAGTCATTTTGATGAAGTAAATTATAGTCATATTTTCTGCAACTGTCACTTCCACTCTTACCAATTTTTGTATTGTGATGATATGATTTTCCAATTCCTAGTGGTTTCAAACATCCACTGTCATCAATATTGATCTGCCAGAGTAGTAAAAAAAGGGACTATATGCCTTTATACTCTGATATATAAATGCATGTCTATCATAGACATTTTTCAAGGGCTAAACGGTTTAGACTAGATATTAGGAAAAAAATCTTTATTGAAAGAGTAGTCAGACTCTGGAACAGGCTGCTCAGGGAGGTGGCTGTGTCCCCATCCCTGGAGGTATTAAAAAAATATGTAGACATGGCACTCCAGGACATGTTGTCGTGGGTGTGGTGCTTTTTTCTTGGTTAATGGTTGGACTCTTCCAACAGTGAAAATTCTGTTGTTCAATGATTCTTACTTTTCTAAAACTTCAGGATCAATAGGGGCAGTTCTGATCTTGGGGACAGTAATGATCACCATGTTAAAATATGTAGCAACGTATTAGTAAAGAAAGTTTTCAAACTTTTTTTTTCTTCCTAACACTTAAATGTAATAGGGTCTTCTCATGCATTTCTCCACCTGCACAGTAGCTTAATGGGAGTTTCACCAGCTGCCTCCAAGCTTGCAGAGGCAAGGTGCTACTCAGGCTGAGTATTCATAGTCACACAGGAGAAACATACAAAATACTTTACAAACTAAAGGGATGTTATTTTTTTTTTTTTTTACCTTCCAATGTATAATATATAAATATTAATCTTAGCACTATGTTAAGAATTAATAACTTGTGCTGTTCTTGTTCTGTACAATATTGATCGTGCTGTACACTAGAGTAGGTGTGAACTCAGACACATCTACCAAGCTCAAGAGCAGTCCAACCCAAAGAATAGAAAGTCAGGTAAAAATACCAGGAGGGCTGCATGGATGAACAAGAAGCTCCTGACCAAGCAGAAACACAAAAAGGAAGCCCACAAAGGGTGGAATCAAGGAAGGATAACCTGTGAGGAATACAGAAACACTGAGCATACAGAGATGAAGACCAAGGAAAATGTGGGCCCACTGTTCAGCAAAATAGAGGACTTGGTTACATGGGATATGGAAAAGATTGAGTCACTGAAAGCCACCTTTGCCTCAGTCTTTACTAGCAAATCTGGTCTTCAGACATCCCACACTCTTAGGCAGCTCTACCATATAGTTCAGTAAACATAAAGTTGTGTTTACATTTCCAGAACAATTTCATTTGCTGAATACATCCATCTTGTCGTCTAAGAGGTTGTAGAGGTTTCCTCCAAACTATATTGCAAATTGAGCAATGCTAAGCTGACTTTAATTTATTGCTAGAAAGCAGCACAAGATTAACTTGGTTTTCCAGAAGCTTTAAAAAGATTTTTCTTCTTTTATGATCTATCCTGCTAACTCATTATTACATATTTTTTCCAGAACAAACTGAAAAATGTTTAAAACTGTAGTTTTTGAATTAATCATTACACAGCTTTTCCTCCAACCAGAGAGCTTACCTGTTTCTTGGCCCTCAAAGAATGTAATGAAAAATACTCCTTGCCCAAAGGCAGTTGTAGACAGGAGACACTACAAAAACAGAGGAGAAACAGGGTGTGAAAATCAAATAAAACACATCATTAACAAGCTCCATGAAATAAATTACCCTGTGATACTAAAAGCAAGCATAAAATAAATAGACCTTTGTTTCACATAGGCTAATGATAATGATATTCTTTAATGTTTAAGCTTGAAGAAGGCTCTGAAGAGACCTCACAGCAGTCTTCCAGTACCTGAAGGGGCCTACAAAAAAGCTGAGGAGGGACTTTTTACAAGTCCATGCAGTATTAGGACAAGGGGCAATGGTTTTAAACTGAAAGAGGGGAGATTTAGTTTAGACATTAGGAGGAAATTTGTTAGTGTGAGGGTGGTGAGACACTGGAACAGGTTGCCCAGGGAAGTTGTGGAAGCCCCATCCCTGGAAGCGTTCAAGGCCAGGCTGGATGGGCCCCTGAACAACCTGATCTAGTAGGAGATGTCCCTGACCATGCAAAGGGGTTGGAACTAGATGATCTCTAAGGTCCCTTCCAATCCAAAAAATTCTATCCTTCTATGATACTCCCTCACATACTGTGGTAGTATTTGAGCTCCACTGACCTAGTTACTAATATTGGAAGGATTTATTTAACTTTATAACAAGTTTTAGATCATCATAAATCTACCACATATTGAAATAGCATAACATCTAACACTGTAACAGTATGCAAAAGAGTTTACTTTCTGTAGTAAAAGCAGTGGTCCTACTCATTTTTCTAAGACCAGAACTACAGTAGAGACAGAGACAGAAGGAACATTCACACTGAGGACTATGTGTTGAAACTGCATTTTTCTTCAAGGAAATATATTTGTCTTCCAAGAAGCAACACAGTCATACTGTATCACAAAAGCACAACATAGAAAATGAGTAATTTAGTGATGTAGTATAACAAGGAAGTGTGATTGATGACCAATGGCAAAACACTCGCAAGCTTGTGAAGGCTGATGGGGAGATCTAAAACATTACCAAAATTAGCAGACATTACTCAGTGATACAGTTCTGCAGTTTGAAAGTGAGCTGGAACAGAAGTTCACTTTGTCTCTTATTTTTAAATTATGCAATTAAATAAGTTTCTGCAATATTTACAACAAAAGGGGCACAACCTTCCAGTTGTCTGAAAAAAGAAGTATGTCATAGGCTGCACTTCTAAAAAAATTCAAACTCATTGGTGGCATGGATTACATCTTTGTACTAAGAAGTTCATGTTAATTCCCAGCAGCTGAGTCTCTGCCTCTTGCATTACTAAGGTTTCACCATCTCACTTGGTGGCATCACTCCTCTCTTCAAAAATTATTGCCTCTTTCACATGCTCCTGCCTCTGATTTTCAGCAAACACAGGATATCTGATATTTTGAATATCAGGATATCAGGATATTTTGAAAATAACGAATTTTAAAGTGTGCAGGTTATCTGACAGACATTTTGTTGCCCAAAGGAGGGGAAAAAAAACCAACAGAAAGAAAACAAACAAACAAACAAACAAGGAATTCCACCCTGCCTACTTCTGCCCAAATTCTGCAGTCTTATATCTGTGCTTACTTGTATGTAAAGAACCAATACATTTTATCTGGCTAATTGACAGTGGAAAAATGTCTATGTTTTTTTTAGTAGTGTATGAATTAATCCACCAGCTTAATTTGGTATGTGAATAACTTAAAAAGAGGGAAGACAATAATGTGCCAAATAAGGTTTGCATTTTATGATGGTGATATTTGATGTCCCAATCAGTGACATATGTGTATGTCAAAACAAACACATAGAACAGCCTATGGCATTTATAAAACAGGAAAGGACATGGAAGAGCTGGTGTCAAAGAAACATAAACTTCAGACTGTATAGCTAGATAAGATTTAGAGAAATTTCTCAGCTAATCCCCAATTGTGCTTAACAGAGAATCAATTACTACTTTTCCTCCAAGCAAATAACTCTCAGGAGTGGCATGTCACCAGGTGTGCTTGAAAATGGCCAGAGCACAGCTGCTTGTTGTGATTACAATGATGTTCTCCAGAAACCAAGCAAAGAAATGAATGGCTGGACCCATTGAAAAGTACACTAACACCACAAATATTTTGAGGCAAAAACATAAAAAAGATACACGATCATGAGGACTTTCTTATATTTTCTGTAGGGTTTACAAAATTTCCCTGAAAAAATATTTTTTATTCCTTTCTATATTCAAAACATTTTTTCAATTGGATGTTTATTAACATGACTTATTTCCAGTGAAACACAAAAGCAAACAGAAACCTGGGAAAAATAGGTACGTTACGGTCTAAAGTATAAAACCTATGGAAATCCACAGCATAGTTGAAAGAGAAAAATTAGAAAAGGAAAATAAATATTTACCATTAAAATCTGGTTGGTGAAACTCAACTGGTTTTGCAAGACCAACAAAACTATGTAGGGTAAAAAACTGATCATATACACAAGGCTGGCACACAGAGCTGCTGTATCAGCACTGCTAAAAAATGCTCCCAAAAAATAGCTTAACATAATGACTGTAACTCCAAAATCCAGGAGAAAAAGGAAGATGATGAATCCATTGCTATAAGCAAAGATACCACTTGCTTTTAAAATGATGGCCAGAGCACAGCTGCTTATTGTGATTACAATTATGTTCTCCAGAAACCAAGCAAAGAAATGAATAGCTGGATGTACACCCATTGTCTTCATATACTGCAAGACAACACAGCAAAGAGAGCTAAAGTTAGAAAACAAGTTTTCTTCTTCCTTTTTTTTTTTTTTTTTAAACAAACCTTGGTACCACCAAGACGCTAACAGCTCTCCAGAGGATGTCATCCTGTCAATCTTAAATTACTCATCTCATGTTAATTTTCCTGTGCTCCCTCTTCTGCTGCTCTGTCCTGGATCAAACATAGTTCTGAGCAGGGCTGCCTCTGAGCTTACTACACACTAACTGGAAGAATCCCAGTGCTCTGGCATAATGCTCTTGCATGGAGTTGCAGGACCAGATGTCAGACTACTGGGGCCTCCAGCGAGGAGTATCCTTTTTATACTCTAAGGATATCTACAGCACTGTATATACAAATGTTTTTTCCCAGCCTGTTGCTGAACCAAAAGTAATATATAGATATGTTTGTAAAACTTTATGTATTGGCATGCAAATAATATAGCCAGGTATGAGGTATCTCCACTCTTTAAAATTAAAAAAAATAATAATAAAATAATTTTTAAAAAGCTTTTGTAAACAAGCCAATACTGCTTCTGAAGTATTTTTTTCTAAGATGACCAAAATAAACTTTATTAAATTGATTTAATATTTTCAAGCATTAAAAAAGGCCTATCTTACAACATAAAGTTTAGAGAAAGCAGATAATTTCCCAAATTAAAAAAAACCTAATCCAGCAGTATAAAGACCAGTTTAATTCTCTTAAGAAGATATATTTATCCATACAAAAATGTAAAACAAAGTCTCTCCTTCCATATGCTTAGCACCTCCTAAGACCAGCCATTAATAGAAATAAATAATTATCTCATTTTTTTCAGTGTCATCCTCCCCCATATATCTGATAATTACATGGTATATGGCAATTTTTTTAATTTGGTTTAGGAAGTTTTCTTATTTTAGACCACATATAGCAAAATATGAAAAAAGAATCCTAGCAAAAAACATTCTAATCATAAGGACGTCTTCCAGAAAACAGTTTCCAGCTTCATCTTTTATGGATCTTCTACTTGTTGTATTTTGTCTCAGGGAAAATATTTGCATCCTAAGAGGACTGACGGTCTAACAATATTGTGAATCTGAGTAGGCTACTAGAACCTCCTGCCCAGACCAAACAAGTGAAAAAAAAGTCAGCTAAATTATAGCTATATAAAAGTAGCTCTACATTTAAATTTTGCAGTTCGGTACACTTTAACAAACAGATGTTATTTTCAGAGACTAATCTACATCTTACCTCTTCAAGATTAATTTCTCTTTCATAAACCAGTTTGCGAACCATGCCAGCAACTGAAACCATCCATGTTAACATCATCATAAGTGGGAAAAAAAACCCTGTATTGTTCAAGAATCTGTGAAAGCACACATATGCAGAGACTAAGTCCCAAAGGCAAAACATTTTTGGCAGAACGATAATAGGTTAATACTGGGACTATTCTCAAAGTATAGCAAAAATATCTGACGTGAGACATAAGACTTATTCTTGTGCTTAACAGAATTGCTTATTTTTCATGTAACAAGCTAAGCATTGGTACTATAGCATTCTATTAGTATTTGCCAACAATACAACTGATGTAATCAGTCTTTGAGGCTCTATTCAAAGTCAAACAGAATTCACATTTGTGTCTATGCTAAAGACAAAAGGACAATAAGGAATAACATTAGCCAGCCAATTTTGTTCCACTGTAACTGATTTATTACCAGACTTATTACTAGCTAATTTTATATTCTAATAGTCAGGATGTTTTGATGGTTGCAAAAAGAACAATCCTACACTTTTGCTTCATCAACTTTACACTGTAGTTCAATGCTTAACAGGGATTTACAGTTTATGTACAGGAGAGCTAAGGATGAAAAGTGGGTTTCTGAGCATAAACTGTTAGTTGTACAATACTCTACAGTATAGCTTCAAACAGTTTGTAAGGGGTCATGGTCACAGCTGTTAAACAATATTTGCTATGCTGCAGTATTCTGGTATTGGACACACTGGTTCAAGCCTGTGCTGAGATAACATTCACCCACTACAAAGACCTAGTAGCTTCCCAAGTCCTCTAGCACTTATCTAATAAAGAAAAGATTGAATTTAAAAGCTTCAAGTTTACTTACAGATCACTGGTATGACAAGGATAAGGCATGGCTTGCACCTGAATGGCTGGCTCTGAGATATCTGTCCCAGTCTGTGCTAAAATAATTGCTCTTTCAATCATGTCTTGAAGAGGAATAAATACATGATTGTACTTAAACCCATCAGCTGGCAACTTCTGGGGATGAGATTTCCACGCTGGGTTTTTAATCAAATCTGTTCTCATGCTATAGAGAACACTGGTTCTAATTGTATATGAAATGTGTTGTGGAAGGAGATTGCCAGAATCTTGTGTCTTGTTCTTTGGTGTATCAAAGATGATACCTGAAAGAAGAAAAGGAGTTTCATACCGAAGTTTATATGATTTGTTCTATACATATAGCTAACTGATGGCTGTGATAGCAGGACACATTCACCTGTCAGGGCAAGCTTCTGAAGTTTCTTGACCCCCCTCAACACAAGAATGGTAGGTTCATAGAGACTTTTTTACATACATGAATATAAAATGTAAAAAATTATTCACACGAAAAATGGGTTTTCAACAATCATTTTTAACTGAGAAAACTCATTCTGTTATTTGTTTTTCTGACTTGGGGTTTATAATTGTGGTTTATTCTCTTTGTATCCAGATTTAACCCCTTTTTTGGAACTGATGCCAATTCCAAAGCATTGGCCACAAAATTTGCCCTTGGAAATGAGTAATAAAGAATTGGTTGTAGCTTCTATCTGGGTGACCCAAATGCCTTAGGACTTCTTGATGAATGCAAAATGTTGTTATTTTTGCCTTAGGAAAGGGGATGTCTTAACTACAGCCTAGATTTATCTGCTCCTTCCATGAAGTGGCAAACCATTTCACTCCCTAACAAAGTATTCTTATGTCATGGTATGGCCTGTTGGCTTTATATTGATGGAGGATGGTGATACCTACATTCTGCAAATGGGGGTACTGTGTCGTTTACAGAACAACCACAAGATTCCAAACTGAGTAGTTTCATTCTCTAGAACTGCTTTGACATGTCTTCTGTTGTGCACTTACAGGAGTCCAGGGAGACAATAAAAACCAATACAATGGGGGAGGGGAAATGTGGCACACTCTTAAAGGGGTTCTCTTTTGGAAAGGCTAAATGCAACTTGAAGCTTTTCTGTGAGTGAAGAAAGTGTGTGCAACAAAAAAAAAAATAAATCCTGTTTTTTAACAGCTTTTGTACAATTAATTGGTTCTCAGCAATAAGAATTTAATGCATGAAAAAGTGTAATCACAGAGAAGAAAAGAAATATATCCATTGCTTAATAATTTATTTACTCTGAATAAACAAGATAATTTCTCGTGGTGTTGGTTTAAGAATGAAACTTACAAAAAAAAACCAACATAAAAACCTTTCTTTCCTTCTTTGTGCAAAGCCAAGAATACAAAAATTAAAATTCCAGAGGACAAATTGGATGAGCTTGTCATAATGAGGAGTCAAGTTTCTTCAGAACTATACATTTTTCAGCTTTTTTTATTCACCTTGAAACATTTATGACTATTCTTTTGAATATTTTGTTAGAAATAACAGACTCCAAGGATTCATTTGGCAGTTCCACAGTTAAAACTATATAATTAGCCTTTACAGCATGTATTACAACATTAAAATGTTGGGGAATATCTCTAAGGTGTCTTTTATTTTGCAAGTATCATACTTAGAAATTTGTGCAAGCTTAATTTACCTTACCAATAAACACAGACAATGACTACAAAGTCAGATGGGTTTTATTTTAAACAAGATACTTACTAGCCAAAAAATTATTTTGCTGCATGAGTTCATGAGCCTTCTCTTCCAGTTTCTCAACAGAGTCGAAAGGCTGGAAACGGTCCAGCAACACACAGGAAGAGATATTTACTACAAGCTGTGACAACAGGTCAATCTGTTTACTTGCTGAGCTGTTGAACATCTTGTTCATTGTAGTTTCTAAGATGAGGAAACAAATTGGACTTCCTTAGTTTTAATGAAGAAAGCAGAAAGGTATATTCTCACTGCACATCCAATAAGAGTAAATACTCTTTGTATTTAAAAAAGGAGAGTTTTTAAAAACACAGGAATTTTAGTGTGAACTTGTGGAAGTGTAGTTCATGTTTCAGTGGCTTTTACAAATCCTCAGCTACATTTTCCTTCAATTTCAGAGGAACAAAAATATTGTTGCAAAATGTTCTAGCAAAGATCTAGAAAGACAATTTATCCTTGAAAGTGTAGGACTTCGAAAATGTCCTTATCTTTCCATAACCACTCCCACAAATACAAGTGAGTTAGTTACTATACTACAAATATGTCTTTCACAACGTGCATGAACTCCTGTACCCTAGTGTAGAAGTAACACATTGATATGAACAGGTACAATCCACAGGAAAATTTCAGAATTAAGATCTATAAAATTGCCTATCTTGTATTTTTCACATTTATAAATGTAGCAATTATTATTAGAAAACTCAGTAAATCTGTTTTCATAATTATCTCTGTACCTGGCTATTTACCAACTCAGCCTTCATCTTCCACTTAGCTTATTTAATCTATCAGTAAGTAAGTGGGAGGAAATATAAATGTCTTAGGTAAATATACTAAGTAGAAGTGCTATTTAAGTAAAAGATTGCAAGACAAATAAATTGGAATAAACCAGCAATTAATGAATTTAGGAGAGGAATTAGGGGCAGGTTTCTAGTTACCAGGTGATTTTGGTGATGGTACAGTTTTCAATGATGATGTTTCCAGCTTTCTATCTACACATTAAACTACTTCATTATAATGAGGGCAGCCAAGGGGTAGCATGAAGGAACGCTGCCTGTTTGGTTTTTTTTTACCCTGGCTGTTACATCTCGGGTCACATGTAGCCCTCTGTAAGGAAGATTCTTTGGTAGTCAAAAAACATTTCATAACAGGGAGGAATCACAGAAGGACAAGGGAGACTCGGCAAACAAGAATTTAAAGCAAAGCCTGCAGCACAACTCCCTCCCAGGGCCCCTTGAGAGGTTCATAAGGACTGAACCCAGCAAGGAGCTCACAAGCTCTTGCAAGATAAAATAGGTTACACCCAGTAAATTATTGCAAATTTCTGGGTCGGAAAGCAGGCATAGAGCAATACAGTTGCCATGCCCACATAAAGCTAGTTTAGAAAGTAAAGAAGAGTTTTAAAAGAAAACCTTGAGCTTTTATGCCCTTGATTAAATATTCACATTTTTCCAGGAAATAAGTGGGTAAAACTGATAGAGTGGCCCTGTACAAGTTTTAGAAATTGATAAATTTGCAACGTCTTATAGCATGATAATTTTATAGAGGTTGGAAGCATTGTACATCAATCCACTCTGTGTCCATGACACTTTCCAGAAGGAACAGCAGAGTGAACCACGTCACTAATATTGTCGAGAAGTAGGAAAAGAAACAAACACAAGCATCTTGGATTTGAACATAATTAGGAGTTAGCTTAATGTGACTGTAGATGTAATAAACTGAGGAAATATTTGTTTTACTCAGGAGACAAAATATATAATCACAAAAATGAGGTGATTTTAGAAAACGTGAGCTTTGGATAGAAATAAACACATTATGAATGGCAAAACCAATAGCGTATATGGATAGATTTAAGACTTTAATTGCACCAAGCAGATAATTACAGGATTAAAAACCTGATGCAGTATAAGAGTAATTAATAAAAAACAAACAAACAAAAAAAAACACGAAAAAACCCAAACACAAGCATAAGATGTTTACAGTAACAGCTACACCTTAGTATAGACTAATAAAACTAACAAAAAAAGCATTTTAAAAACCAACATAAAAATAAGAGGACAATGCTGCTGTGATCTATAGCCCATACTGATTTTCACTTTTTATATTAAGTTCATGTTATCAAATGTATCCATTAAAATAAACAAATTCTAGTTTCATAAGCCGTTCTACTGAAATTATTTCCTGTATTTACCATCTAAGAATATTAACCATGTACTACATACTGTCATGTCTTTAGCTCTGTTAAAAAACTGTAACTTCAGAAACCTATGCAGATTTCTGTGGTGATGGCATCTACAACAGTGAAGATGAACCTGATAATTCCTGAGCTCTTGATACCTTCTTAATTAAATAGTTTGTCCATATATTTGTACTTCCCAGTATTAGATCCAAACAAGATAAATCCATCCATTACTCAACTAACACATTGAGACAGCAGGCCTTGCAGAATAAGAGATTTGCTCTTTCCTCCCTCAACTTTTTCCAATTGTGTGATTCTGTGGCATTTTTCTTTAGTTATATTGTGATCCAGCTTCACCATGAAGAGTGAGCCATGCCTGACCCAGAGTAGGCAAGAGTTCAGTGGTTCAGTACTGGAGAGGTAGCAGATTCAAGTTTGATTCCCTCACCTAAAGAAGATACTGAGTCCAGATTCTTACTTTCTGGATTTAATTTTGCCATTTTTCTTAGTGAAAATGTGCACAGTGTGTCCTAGCCTTCAAACACAGCCTTCAGATCAAGGCTACTTTCAATTAAATCTCACATTCTGTGAGCAAAAGAAAAAGCCAAGAACTTCAGCTCACACCAATCACGACAGCACCATCTCAGGGCAATAGTACTATTTGAAACTGAGAACATACTTTATCATCTACAAGCTCTCAGGAGCTTCAGTGGATTGTGTCCATCTCCTGCTTAGAGGCAGACACATAAATCCAATAAAAGTTGCACTTCAGGTACATTTATTTGTCTATTTTAGCTCTAGACTTCATTTTTTTACTATAGAGCAGACTTAACAAGCTCTATTGCTGCAAAGTGCTTTTTTTTTCAGCAATGAGGACCACACAACCCATGAGGGCATCTGAGAGTTCATCACTGTTCTCCAACAAATGACTGAAACAGATTTGTGTCCAGCACAGAAGTATCCTAATACTCACTGATAACAAACTACACAGACTTCTCATCTCTACCACTATCCTCTAGAGTGCACCCAGTTCTCTTTGTACATAATGTCACACCATATGTTATTGCATTTTATCCCATTTTTCTCTTTTTCTGGTTCTCAAAAACATGAGCTTTTCTTAACTGACATTAGATTCTTCTTTGATATGAACACTTCCTTCTGGCACGTGTCAGCAACCACTTTTTCTATCATGCATCTACCTTACTGACAGCAGGACATGGAGAATTATCAAATTCTTATAAAATCTTTAAATAAGTCAAATTTACAACATAATCTTTGCTCTTCTTCCTTTCATATCCCTATATCCCCAAAATTACTCATAATAATTCCCAACTCCCCCATTATACACTGTTTGCCTTGGGATATCTATCTGGTTCTGGAGCACATACTCTGTTTCTGGAGGTCTGGCTGCTAGGGCTCAGTGCCAATGCAGAAAGGGTGCAGCCAAGGATGGCTGTGATGCAGGGTGATGCTGCTGGGTAGCCCCATGCAGACACCTGAAGCAGGGCCAGTCCTTCCCCATCACAGCTGCACTGAGATGTGGCTGTGTCTGCCCAAGGCTGCAGCTCTCATCATATCAGTCTGGCTGTAGAACTGGTCATGGATGTGCTGATCTGGCCGTAGACCCCTTCCTACAGGATGATGTTTTTGCCTGGCCTCAGCATCACTCCATGGTACCACCTGGTCATCCCAGTGCTGTTTCAGATCCTGGTTACGCCCTACTGACCTGAGCCCAACCTTGCTGTTCCCTCTTCCTAACCAAAGCTCTGAGGCTCAAGGAGACTATATGCAACCAATTTTCAATAAAAGCAGAAGAAACATACAGACAGCTTTTGATTAAACACACTCACACAATCTTATTTTCTATTTCTTTTCATTTAAAGTACATAGATTTCCTAAGAAATGCACAGCAAAAAAAATTTGCTACTACCCAATGGAACCATGGTTAATGGGATTATTTCTCCTTTCCCTTTTTTCACTTGTAGTTCTTATGTATGCAACTCTCCTATGACAGTTTGCCACTTCTAATTTGTTGCCAGATTTTTCAAGTCTCTCAATATTTAGAAATGTAAATTTATCCAGTCACTCAGAAGAAAAAAGTCAATTAGAAATACTTGAGACTAACTCAAGAAGATTCTGGGACTTCAGTATCATTTAAGTAGGTATAACATTCCATTTCAACAGAACACAGTCCGAAGTTTAAGTTATAGTGGAGTAAGTGTAATCAGTGCATGGACTTTCTGTACGTACCATATACTTGCATTTTTTTAAAGAGTTTTTCCATGTCAATATCCAAATTGCTTTCTATAAAGTGCTTTATGAAATTGCTTTGCAGAGCTCCCTAAAACAAAAAGCGTTAGATGTTACAAAAAGTGTATTTTTCTAAAGAAATATAAAATAAACACATGCATTCATGTTCATTACCAAGATTTCCTGCATAACACTGAAGAAGTCACTTAGCTTCTCTATGTCCTCAGTCTTCACTTCCTAACAGGTTGGCTCCACACATTTCAAATTAACAGCAGAGCATACTACTGCTGCATGTCACTGTCCTCCTTTACTGCAAATATTTAACTGTGAGTCCATTCTAATGTCCTTGCAAATCCATTGGGATAGAAACCCATTTTCTTTTCCTGCAAGACTTTTAGGCCATTATGCTGTTAGCACTGGCAGTAATAATATAAATATATCTTCTAAACTGGCGTTTGGGAATTTCTCTTACATTATTTTGAGTTCTTTACCTCTTTTGCCAAGTTCTAAGGGGGGGAAAAAATAAGCTCTACAAGAGCATCCTGGGATCTGCAAGTCTAAGGCATGATTAATAACTTAATTCCTTAATTTAAATTCATTAAGTTCAAGTTATATGTACAGGTCATTACAGGATTCTGCTTATTTTCCCAAAATATGACACCCATACATGTTTTCATAACCAAATGTGGCAAAACTAAATTTTATTAGGGGAGGAAAGAAAAAGACACAAATATGCAGAATAGAAAAAGTCCCATTTTAAAAAATGTTGTGGGGTTTTTTAGTCAATTTCCCACATTCATTTTTTTGTTGTTGTTTTTTTTGAAATAAACATTTATTTCCTACAATTTTTATTAGTTAAAAAAAAATAAGTGTATAAGCTTGTAGTTTGTGTAGCTGTTTTATTTACTCTACTGCCTAGTAATACTAGACATAGGTAACATTGCCTTTAAGTACTTTCACCTCAGATGTTTGTCAGTATCACACTATAGGCTTATAAACTAAAGCTAATCTGTCTCTTTCAGCTCTTTTTAAACCTGAAACCAGATAGATAGGCACTTTTACATGTATAGAAATTCTGTCTAGGTCACATAGCAAATAAATGGAAAACAGGAATCCTTCCCACCTGCAGTTGTGAGACCGTGAGAACACTTCCACTGGTTTTAAAAACCCCAGACATCCTAAGCCATGTCTCAGAATAAGTCTTCAAATTTTCCACAAAAGCAAAAGTGAAATTAGCCTGGTAAAAAGAATACATAGAGACAAATGAAGTAAAAACTGTGCATAGCAAATCTTAAGAAACAGGAAAAATTGGCATGTTTCAGACTTTCTGCAACTCCTTTCCATTTCACTTTGATAGTCAGCATTAAGGAAAGTCATGTTTTATTTTTCTGCTCAATTAATGAAAAAAAAATAATTAAAACAGATCACTAGGGTATGCAAGATTAGAAAATATTGCAGTATCTTTTTGTTTAAATTGGTGTTGTCAGTCATAGAAGTGCATTTAAGAACAATCCAACCTTGTTATTATGGTTGGGATAATGACATTTCCTGCAAAAGAGTATCTGCAGTGAGTTGTAAACTCCAATTTGGGACCACACTTACTGCAAAAAAATTCCTACTGAAAGTACACAGGTTTTGACATAGTATTTTTAAGTGGGGTTTTTTTGCAAAATCCCACTCTTAGCACAATATGGAAAAACCATTTGTGATTATTATTTCTTCCCATTTGTAGCACAGGGGGTGTGGGAAACTGTTCCAAAGAGACCCTTGAAGATGCATTTAGCTTCTATGAGATACTCAATTTTTTAAAATTACTGCAGCAGCATGAATTTTTGGAAAATATTAACTTTATATCAACGTAGAAAAGTAATTAAAAGCAGCCAAGGGGTACGTTCTGTGCAGGAGCTAGAGACACTACTAAAGGCAACATAGAGGAAACTGAGCAGTAAACATCCTTTTTAAAACTTAAGAGTTATATCCAAATAAGAACACAAGAAATACCAGAGAAAAAAAAAAGGGAGTTGTTTAACCTTTTTTTGCTTTCTTAGTTATCACAACAAGCCTTTGGGAAGTTCCTGTATCAGAAGCTGTCAACACGGAGAACACTTTGGAGAATGTCTCAGATTGAAACAGTGGTAAAAAAAAAAAGGTCATACAATTTAGCAAAATAAACAATCAGTAGTTCCCAGAACAAGATAACATCCAGCCAAGAATTCTAACAGCACACAAGAATTTAATAGCTGAAATACTCACTGTAGTGTAACCTTGTGATTAAAATTCCTTAGTTATCAGGGAACTGGAAAATAACATATGCAATGCTAGTTATAAAAAAGATGCTAGAGGAACCAGGGGACTACAGATTAATAATTCTGAAATCTGCACTAAGCTAAATTTAATGTTGCTGTAATAATAAATAAAATAAATTTTAAAAAAAACAACACAACAATAAAGAGTAATAGTAGAAAAAGAGAATATGAATACAATGGGGAGATACCAACATCAGATTTTAAAAAATAAGTTGCTTCAGTTGAAGAACAAGCAAGTGAGGAAGCATGCAGAGCATCTCACCACAGGCACTATGAATATTAAGAGTTTACTATCCTCAAAAAGCAAGTGGATGAACTACAGCAGTAAAGTCCTGGCAAACCTGACCCTTCAGTTTTTGGAAGCTGGGACAGTATCCGGGGGCAAAAACCCATTGCTGGCCTATTCTTCAGTTCTTCCCTATACAGCCCTTACTGATCACAGTAGGGATGAGAACATAGGGCAAGATGAATGAAGAAATGCCCTCAAGGTTTAGGCTGGGTATCAGAAAAAATTTCTTCACAGAAAGGGTTGTCAAGCACTGGAACAGGCTGCCCAGGGAGTGGTGGAGTCATCATCCCTGGACGTGTTTAAAAGTCTTGTAGACATGTGCTTAGGGACATGGTTTAGCAGTGGACTTGGTAGAGACAGGTTAACGGTGGGACTTAATTATCTTAAAGGTCTTTTCCAACCTAAAAGATTCTATGAACGCTTAGCCTTATGTGGTAAAGCAACTCCAGTGACTTAGTATGCTAATGACTAGCTGGACTTTGACGTTTAATAGAAATTCTCTTCAATTTCTCTTCTCCCTAATCAATGAAGATGTATTAAAATAAATATTCTTTGTAACACTTAGGCTGAGTATTGCTTTTGAATGAAATTAGAGTCTTCAATATGAACTATAGTCCTGTCTGGACAGAATATGTCTAAGCATCTTCCTGATGTAAGAATCCTTTTAACAGGATGACAAGTCAAGTTTGTTTATTAAAGCCAGACAGGATATGCAAGTTTAGAATAAGAACTTACTCAACTCTTTATCAGTTTTTCTAATTATACTGGCAAAAAGGCAGGAAACCAAAATTATTTAATTTGCTGAAATAGTTTTCTTTCTATAATTTCCTGTCTTTTATACATATATTAAAATATTCATTATGATTGCTATAGTTAACAAAGAAATAGCACTAAGTTGTCTTAATGTGATTGCCTGAATATAACATCAACTCTGAGAATCTTTTGAAACAAGGAATACTTTCATAAGTTCATCTCATTAGTGGTGCAGGTTTCATTTGCGAAAGCAAGGATCACAGACTTCACATGTGGTGTGAAAGACTTCTTTGAATGCCTGGATGCCACAGGCCACTGAATGTTTGTGCTCTCAGTCGGCACTGAAGCCTGTATCTATGATGGTGGCTGTTATCCTACACATGAGAACTGTTGACTTCAGAAGGTAAAATCAGTAACTTCACGATTTATCAAAGAATGGTCAGCTACACAGTTTTGAAACAAAACAGTCCATATGAAAACCTTACAGAATATATCTTACTATGCAAACCATCAACATTCTTTTTAGCTTTAGTCCTCTGCTTTTTTCTTCTCGTAAATAGTTGCCATTCGGTCACATAATCTAAAGGAAATTAGATCTTCTGTTCCAATTTCAGTAGATCTGCCTGGGTAAGGGCTACAGGATCAGCTTTTGGTAGCTGTGGTCAAGACACTTGGGACAATATTTTGCATTTAAATTTTGTTTCTATTCAAACAATAGATTACAGGCTTCTGTAATCAAACAAATGATTATTTTTTTTAATAAACTTTCCCACTACTTTCACATTTACACATAAACACATACACATCCATAATTGTGTGTTCAATCTACAGGTTTTGGGGAAGAGTTGGGGTTTATTTACACAGCTGAATAAGCTGATGGAACGTTGGTGACCCTGAGACTACATAAGGAGAATGAGACATTGTGCAAGAGGCATCTACCAGAATCTCAGTCTTGTTCCAGAACATGAAAAACAAAACAGAACAATAAATCACAAGCAAAACCCATTCTGAACTGTGTTACTCAGTCTTGATTTCACTAAAAACAATCTATAGGGGAACATCACATATGTCAGGAGATTTCTCTTTCTTACAGATGCTTTTAAGAATGTGGTTTTGGCATATTATTAGGCAAAATAACATGGAAATATCTCGAGTGAATTATCTTAAATTTTGTTGTAAAATAGAATATAATTATGTATTCAAAAATATTTTGATTTTTCATAATTTCTTGCAGCTCATTCCTTATAGAAGTTCCATCTATAAACATCAACAGCAACTTCATTTTTAACTGACTAAAAATTTAAAGTAAATTAAATTCAACTCCAGAGAGATGGCCCATTGCTCAAATTAAGTTATTTAATTGAAAAGTATGAAATCACTGAAACCTTATTTTTGACTCACAGCAGAAGCTATGAAGTTACCTAGTATATGCTATCTAGTATGTGCTTTTTGGCTTTGATTTATTTTTTTTTACTATCTTTTTAAAACATAATTCAGAATACCACCCTGTACAGCATTTACATGGAAAATTTTTACCATCACATTTATAGTTGCTACAGTCTTTCTGAGTACCACTTACAAGCAGCAATGCTTTTTTTTCTAGATTTTCAATTAACCTAAACTACCATTTTTTTGCAATAATAAGTATTTCAGGTATTTGCAAAATAAATGCAAAATTTGCACAGAACTCTAATATGCACTTAGAAAAAGTCATCATCCCTTGCCTTACAGAAGTGGTTCAAAAGTAGTCACTGTAGGTAATAATTGCTCAAGATAAAACACCTACTATACCAAAACTGCACAAACAGTAAAACCGGTGAATAATATCCAAGTCATCAATGTCCACACAGTCATTCATACTACTGGTGTTAGAAACATTAGAAGAATCCATTGTAGGTTGTTGACTGTAAGTTGTTTGGTGTGTTTTTTTTAAATGCAGCTCAGTGACTCAGAACAGGCTTCCATTTCTTGGCTGCCCCTTCCCCACAGTCCTCTATCCTGCCCCATTAGAGTTCCCATCATAAGAAAATGTTGAGGGTGAAAGTTCACTCGGAATACATGTATCTTACACCTTGATGAAGCATGATTCACATGACATTTCCACTCATGTTTTGTTTTTAATCTTGCTATACAAGGTTCAAGAGACTTTGAACAAAATTCTGCTTTTTACACTGAGGTGAAACCACTGCAACAAGACAAAAGTTAAGAGAAATACTAAGCTTAAAGTGGGATCAAGGTGAGAACTCCAGGGATAGTCTGGATCCAGTTTTCTGAAAGGCAGTTTGTATTATTATTGCTTCTACCTACCCTGAACAATGTGGACCTTCAAGATAAAGTACACAGAAAAAAAAATCAATAAACAAAAATAGTGTTTCTTTTGATAGTCACCTTCTCCATCACCAGGTCAATCATGCTGATGTTCGAATTGTACAGTATCTTCCCATGTAATAAAGGTTTCAGGAAAGTCCATAGCAAAGCCCCATTAGAAGACTGCAAAATCTCCTCATAAAGCTTCAAGCAAAAAGGAGCTGCAAAACCAAAGACAGACTTACGTTCAATACAGACAACACGGGTTAAGTTGGATTATTTTATTTTTTTTTTTAATTCAAAGAAAACCTTAATTTAGGATCTGCCCCAGCATTGTGCCAAATACCATCCAACTGCCACTAAGAAATTTCTACAGGTCCCTGAACAGAAATAGTTTAAGCAGTCTGTGATAGTGTTGAGGATGTAGAACTCTTAATACTAGGAAAAAAAAAATAAATCAGAATCCAAAGAGCTTCTCACATTTATGAAAAGTAGCCTGTGAACCTCATCTATTTTAAGTTATATTAGTGCGTTTTAGAGTGGAAGGACACATGCAAACCCCCTGCTCACAAAATGAATGCTGAGGGAAGAATAATTACAAAAACCCGAACCAAACCAAAACAAACAAACAAACAAACAAAAAACTCTAAAGATTCACTCAACACCCTTGGTTCTTATGTAGTTTTCTATTCCTACTTAAGAAACAAGTAGATATACACAAACGCCTTCACAAATACAGACTTAATTATTTGTACAATTTCATAAGAACCTACCAAGAATATGGGGGGGGAAGGCATGGCACTTCTTTATTTGAAAAATCTGATCTACTTTTCATTCTTTACCCAAAAAACATGTTCCTGCATCAGATAGGGTTATTGATGCATTAGGGTGTAAATCCTCCAGAACTAGAATACGAGGAATAGCTTCCAAGATATCCCACTGCACTTGCACTCAAGTAAAGGCAATGAGTTTCCTGTGAGAAACATTTTGATTTTTATGCCCAGCTCATATGTTTTGGGGTTTTTTTAATTAGTTGTTATGAGTGCATTAATAAATATTTCCAGTGCTGTGAGGAAATGTTAAATAACGTCATTAACTCCTCAAGGAAGACAAATGATTGTACACCATGGAA